TTAGTGGGCGTGGGGCAGAGGGGGAGTCATGTGTGGGCGTGATGCGCCCATAACGCAATGCGTGCACCCTCCCCCCAGTGCAAATGAACGCACTACAGGGTTTTCTTGCATGTTTTTTTTTTGCCCTCCCCAGGATCCTATAAAGCCTCTGGAGCCTGGGGAGGGCAAAAAAAAAACATGCAAGAAAACCCTGTAGTGCGTTCATTTGCACTGGGGGGAGGGTGCACGCATTGCGTTATGGGCGCAGCACGCCCACACATGACCCCCCCTCTGCACTCCCCCCACTTAAATGGTTCGCCATCGCTGGGCTAATGTATGGAATGCATCCAAAATGCATGAGAGAATGAAATTTGAGAAATTTCATCTTTGTGTTAATAGATGCATGCAGTAGCCCAAGAAAAAACAGAAATCTTCCATAACATACAATTAAAGCGTGTAACAACCTTGATGTATGAAAACAGATAGAAGACTATCAAAGCAGGTTCAATTGGGAAACCATAAGCATCCTAGAGCAACCTAAATCAAAGCATGCTGGAAGCTTGGCACTCACACAACTCAGCTAGCAACAGACTGATGGAGATAAATAACATTTACACAACATGCAAAAGAGAAATAATAAACATAAAAAGGAAACAAAAAACCTAGAACTGTTTTTCTTCCTTTTCATCAGCAATCAATACCCAGAAAAGCAGGGATTTATATCAACATCAACACCAACAAACAAACAGTAGACAACAGCCAATCAAGGAAATACCAAACACCAACTCTTATAGGGCAAGCCACTACATATAAACAAATAGAAAACCCTACTCCTTTCTTGCACTGAAAATGTTCCCTAATTGGGTAACAAAAACTCTGCAAGACAACAACCAAGCTCAGAGAGCACTAAGGACTCCCAAATTCAAGTCTGAATATTCTTTCCTAATAGACGTGACAAATAACTGGTTAATCACTGCAATAAGAAATGACAATAAATTCATCATCGTCAGGGGAAAAAGTGAAAGAATATGAAGAAGCATCTAACAATGTGTTGCCAGTGGGAGTGTCTGCACATCTACAAACACCTCCCCTGGTATTCACCAGATCTGCTACTCGATCTTTTTTTAAAAAAAAAAACATATCAGTAATTTCATTTAAAAATCAGTAAACAGGAAATTGACATCCTTAAGCCCCTAGCATCAACTTTCATTACAAAAGAACTTTCGGATCACAATTGCCTAAAAACAGTCTTAGAAAATAAATATGCTATGTGATATTTGTGCCTTCAAAAGAGAAAAAGCAAAGGTAAGATTAGATGATAAATACATTTTGAACAGTTAATGGGTCATAACTTTCCTAATTTATTTTATGGTAAGTGAAAGATTTGAGACCACCTGTCATTTTCACTCTAGATACTGTTTTCTCTAGATACTGTTT